GATACTTTTTCTAATATGACTGCTGCTTCTGCTCCCAGGGGTGAAGCATCCTCAGACACCATTAAACATCTATTACACACCCTTCCTTTCTAGGATTCCCACAACAAATAAAACTGATAACCGCCTTGCTTATACCAACAAACATTTTTGAGAATTTAGCAGTTTATAGAATATTAATCATGTTACTAATATCCCTTACCATCTACAGGGTCAAGCTTTTGTGGAATGACATCATCAAATACTTGAACATCAAATTTTTAAAAGAATAAGTATATACACTCATCTAAACCCCCACATGCTATGCTACATTTAGCTATGTTAAGTTTTAATTTTTTTCACTTTAAAGCATGATGCTTCTGACGACCCAAAGCATTTTGCCCTAAAGGAAACACAACCTAAAGAAAGTTAAATGGAAAGATATGGAGACTAATCAGTAGGAAGGCTCTGATGCTCTTTCAACATCAGGGCAAGGCTATGCTGTGTCTTTCCGAAGATGAAGTCCCAGATGGCTCCTGCTTTGATGAATTCAACCAGGATAGCAACAGAGACCACCGGACAAATGAAGTGTCAGAAGACAGATGGCAAACCCATCAAGGAGACACACCCAGAGGAAGAGGAAGATAAGGGAACAATACTACTGACCCCAAAAATGTTACTGTTAGGTTTATGGACTGTATTACATGCTAATTCTCAACTTGTCATTCTGTTTTTCAGGGGGAAATAAAATGCATACCAGTAAGAGGAGACAGTTTGATATTGTCTTGCCATGCTGAGGATTATTTTCATCTTTTAAGAACAGTTGTCTGGGTAAAAGATGGTATAAAAATATTTAGTCCCATGAATGGGGGATATTTTCGTTGGACTAATCTAATGGGAACAGTTCAAATGCAGTAATATGGACTGTAGCATAAAATAAGTACTCTTTAGAAAGCTCTGATAGTGGGAACTATAGTTGTATGAAGATGAAAAGGGGAATACCTGGTGTGTTGCCTACCAAAGTTGGTATTATTGTACCTAGGATAGTTCTATCTATTGCCAATGGTTTAGACAGTAACCTCTGGCTTCACTTGGCACATGGCAGTCAACAGGAACAATCCTTTTGCGTCAAGAGCCCCAGCTATTTCTTGGCTCTTAAAAATAAATTTATATGCATTGGAATCATTCATATGCACTATGTACAAATCACAGGGGACAAAATGGAATCCTCTTGCTCCCAAACATAGGGCTGCCTCTGATCTTCCTATCTATGGTGTTTTCTATCACACTGTTTATGCCTTAAATGTACTTATATCCTTCCTTATTGCAATTCCACCTCTAATAATACCCTGCCCTCTGGGATGGACTTTTTTTGGGTGTGTGTGTGAAAATGCTCCTTACACTGTCCTTCCTGCAGGTTATAAAGGCTTATGTAGGACAGGCCATATTATACCCACTTTGCTCAGTAAATCTTTGCAACTGATTAATAGAATTAAGGACAGCCAAGACTACACAGAAAAACCCTTTCTAGAAAAAACAGAGAAAGAGGGAACTCACCCTGGGAATTGTGATGATTCTTTGCATGTATTGGATCCTGTAATGGTCACACCTGCAGTGGACTTTTTAAAAAATTTATTTATTTATTATGCATGCAGTATTCTGTCTGCATGTATGTCGGCAGGCAAGAAGAGGACACCAGATCTCATTATAGATGGTTGTGAGCCACCGTGTGGTTGCTGGATTTTGAACTTGGGACCTTTTGAAGAACAGTCAGTGCTCTTAACCTCTGAGCCATCTCTCCAGCCCTGCAATGGGCTTTTTATTGCCCATCCCAGGAATGTTCTGGAATACAAAGAGAGGTCTTAAAGATGACCTTCGGGCACTCCAATAGAGCAATCAGGTAGTGTGCGGTACTTATACAAAGATGGCCTGCATGATTAGTAACATTAATAATATTACAGCAAACATATTAGCAGAAATTAATCAAGAGATGGCTAATTGAGGACCACATCCCAAAAAAGCCTTCTTTTTTTTTTATCCAACATAATCAGTGTGTTTGGGATTTTTGAGAAGGGTTATTTGTGTGACTGTAGTAGAGCTCATGATGGTCTTGCAGATGCTAAGCAACAATTCTGCCCCTGAGCAACAACGCCCCCCTTTCCCTCTCCCTCTGACAAGATTTCCTATGTAATTTGGGGAGGGAGGGAAGGTTTCGAGACAGGTTTCTCTGTGTGTCTCTGGCTGTCCTAGAACTCACAGAGATCCGCCTGCCTCTGCCTCCCAAGTGCCAGGATTAAAGGCATGTGCCACCACCAGGCTCCTTTGGACCTTTTAACTGGTTTCAAATTCCTGTTCCTCCTGCCTGTGATTTCCAATGGGGTAAATGTAGGGGAAAAGGGACCAGTCAAAGAAACACACCCTGAGCAGAGCCAAAGAAAACACACTTTGACCCTGCAACCAGAACCAAAGAAATGCACCCTGACCCTGAAACCAGTGCCAAAGAAACACACTTTGTCCCTGAAATCAGAGCCAGTGAAAAAAATGCACTCTGCCCCTAAAATCAGAGCCAAAAGGCTAAAAAGGACCAGAGAAAGAAACACATGTGAGCCCTGAAATAAAAGCCAAATCTGAACCTGAACCTGTGCAGAAAACTAACCAATTCCTGAGCAAGAGATGTAGCCATTCTGAGCTCAGGGATTGAAATCTGACCAATCCACACCCTGGAAAACTCCGCCCCTAAGATCCCCTACATAAAACCCTGTGTCTGTTCAGCTTGTGGTTGTCTAGCTGTCTGGATTCTTCCCTCCCAATAAGTCTCTTGAATGAGGTTTGGGTGAGGCCTTCCTTCGCTGGAATGGAGAGAAGTAACAACTTTTCACCAGACCCAGGGCAGAGTAGAGTGGCGTCAACCTTCGCAGAGAAAACTTCCCCTGGCCAACTGGAGTTGTTACACTCCAGGGACCTGAGACAGACCTGAGCCAAACTGGAGCAGAGCTGATACGCCGGGGAAGCCTTTCCCTGAAGCAGGGCTAAAAGCTGCTACAATTATTGTGACCTGTGGTTTTCCTTGGCTCCCGGGTGCCAGAGTATCTTTATGTCCGAGCTGTGACACTCAGTAGAATCCCTATCCATCCGAGCTACTGCAATGCTTATAGTACTATTGCAGGAGTGTGCCACAAAGAGTTTGCTCTGCTAGGCCTGTGCTGACAGGGTGGAACTAAGTCTGACCCTTACATCAGCCCCATTTTATAGGAGAGGAAAACCCACTGAAAGGGAATGAACCACTAAGCAGTAATGCTACCCTGGAATTCAGGTCCAAACAATTGGACTTTGAGTATTTCTTTGGAGATAAGGTCCTTATCCTGTAGCTCAGGTTGGCCCTAAACATTCACAATCCTCCTGCCTCCCAAGTGCTAGGATTACAGGGGTGCACTTCTTGCTGTCATAGTCACTGTTCTATGGCTGTGAAGAGGGGGTGGAAAGGAAGAGGGACCCATGGGCTGCTGGTGAATGTGTATAAATCCCTGTGATTAGAAGATGGAGGAGGACTGCTTGTAGCTTGAGGCTAGCCTGAGCTCCATAAAAAAATCCAGACTCTGCTTGTCTACACGGTGAGAGCCTGTTTGAAGAATACAGGGAAGGGAAAGAGCTGTAGGAATGCATTTGTGAACATACAGGAACACCCAGACAGAGAAGTTTCTCTTAGCTAGCCTCTTGTATCTTTCCCCTCTGTTCCCGAGACTGGCACACCAGGTCTCAAGACCTCAGCAGTGGCCTTTTGTAAAGATGTGCCTGTTCTAGAACCCACAGCTCCGTGCTTCTGAGTCATATTCTCCACCAACAGCGTCTGCACACCACTGCCATGACCTACAAGGTCTGAGAGGCAGGAGAACTAAAGAACACAACCTCACCCCCCAGCGTTTGGTCCTGGGGCTCTAACAGTACTCAAATGATCTATCTGTGCTTTTTTCTTTTTTTTGCAGGGAGGGAGAGGGTAGTCATCTCTGCACCTGTCCGTCCACACATCATCTGTGATTCCTCAGGCATCTCTTTGGATGCAGAGAGCTCTTGGTAAGGTCTAGGGTTCCTGAAGGACAGACCCACCCACGACTTCTGTGCATCTCCTATTGGCCTCAGATCTGCCCCTGGACATATGTGCAGGAGACCAGTGTGCAGTTGGGGACTGTGGAGGAGAAGCCGAGCTAGTAACTGGAGACCTGAAAAATGTCAATTTCTGACCTGGGCTCCATTGTTTATCTCCACAGAGAAAGGACACAATCCTGAGGACTCCACCCTTTGATCTCAGCTACTCTGGAGACCAATGCAGGAGGTCCACGTTCAAGGCTGTTCTGTGTTACCTGTAAGATCCTGCCCCGAAAAAAATCACAAAAACAAAACAAAACAAAACAAAAACAAAAAACAACAACAAAAAAAAAACATCAAACAATACTGGGAAGGTGGCTCTTGCAAATTGCTTGCCTAGCAATCCCTAGGTTGAGCCTCAGACAGACAGACAGACAGACAGACAGACACACACACACACACACACACACACACACACACACACACGGTGTGCCAGTAACTGATACAGGGCATTATCTGCATCAAGCAGTATGAACGCTATCACCTGGATTTCAAACCTGACTGCCTTAGTGACCCAGTGTTTCAAGGAAACAGGTCCTGAGGAAGAGGTGGTGAGAGACCCGGGAAAAGATGGGCCAGACAAGCGAGCCAACGGGGCATGTGGAATACAGGACTAGATTCAAACTGTCAGAGAAGCGGTCACATCAGCTCAAAGATGAGAGATCAAGCAGATTCAGAAGGATAGTCAGAGACACAAACCCAAGCAGAGGCAAAGCTACAGCAGCGGGTGAGGAGGTAGTGGGGGTCAGGGGAACGACCAGAACACGGGTGAAAGTTCTGGGAGGTGGGAAGAACCGGGTGGCTGTAACCGCTGAGATAACAATCCCTCAGATGCTGCAAGGGGAAGGAATCCGCCACCCGATGATGCGCAGGGATCTGACCTGAGCACCCAGTGGAGACAAAGCAGTCCGTGATTTACCGCAGCTCGGGAGCTCCCCGTGAGTCCTGTGGGACCCGGGCCCAAGGCTCCCGCCTGGCAGCTCCACCGTGCAGGCCGTCCCACCGCGGTCCTGGCTGGTATAGTAGCGCTCGCCGACCAGTTTCAGCGGCTCTCCCAGCTCGGCCGCCACACATTCCAGGGCAGAGCTCGCAGAGAGGACTGCAGCAAGACTCAACTCCAGGAGCAGGGAACCGACAGGACGCCTGGCTGTCCGGAGTCGATCCAGCCCCAAACCCACAGCGACAGGCGACAGAGTGCACAGCTGCTCTTCCGCTCAGCACGCGCCTCACTCACCATCTCCAGCTTCCCGGGCATCCCAAGTCCTCACTGTGGCTCTCCCCGCACCACCGAGGCACCGGGCCACAGAGGCGAGTACACAGTGTCCAGGAAGGATATCTCCTGAGAGAGGATGGATGGTACCCAGCGCCAGGTCCCAAGATGGCTGATCTGAGACAATAATGAGCCAAGCACACTGTGTCTTTGCTCCTGATTGGACAAGCCTCGCACTAATGCCTCCGATTGGACAGAACCTCAGGTTCAGAGCCAGAGTGACAGTGGATTGATCCAATCGGCAACTGAATGAACAATAACAGGTTGACTGACCTGGATTTCTCTCCTGGAAATCTAGCCCCAACTGAACAAGTTATATTTAACTTTGTACACAAAACTAGATCTATCAGTTTATGATGATAGATAGATAGATAGATAGATAGATAGATAGATAGATAGATAGATAGATAGATAGATAGATAGATATTTAGGTAGGTAGACACTTTGAACTTTGAAATTGGAAGCAATTTCCTAAAGCACCACTATGCTAAACTGTCAGAATGATAAGTTTTTTTGTTTTGTTTTAACTAATTTTATTTAAATTTAAAACAATCTTAATCTTATTTTACATACCAATCCGTGTTCCCTCTGCCTCCCATCCTCCCATGCCCCCCACTCACCCCCATCCCACCCACCCACCCCCCTTTCTCACCCCCTCACCCACTGCTCAGGGAGGATAAGGCATCAAAGTCTGTCACATTATTTGGGGCAGGAGAGAGTGGACAGCCTTGTCTTGTTGCTGATTTTAGAGGAATCCCATTGAGTTTCTCTCTATTTAGCTTTATGTTGACTTGCTGTATATTGCCTTTATTATGTTTAGGTGTGTTCTCTCCAAGACCTTTATCATGAAGGGAGGTTGGATTTTATGGAAGGCTTTTTCAGCATGTAGTGAGATGATCAGGTGGTTTTTATTTTTCAGTTTGTTTATGTGGTGGATTACACTGATGGATTTTAGTATGGTGAATCATCTCTGCATCTCTGAGATAAAGTCTACTTGATCATGGTGGATAATTTTTCTAATGTGTTCTTGGATTTTATTTGCCAGTATTTTATTCAGTATTTTTGCATCATTGTTCATGAGGGAGACTGATCTGTAGTTCTGTTTCCTAATGTGTCTTAGTGTGGTTTGAGTACCAAGGTAAATGTAGCCTCATAGAAAGGGTTTGGCAATGACCCTTCTGTTTCTATTGTGTGGAACAATTTGAGGAGTATTGGTATTTGCTCTTCTTTGAATTTCTGGTAGAATTCTGCACCAAAACCATCTGGCCCTGGGCTTTTTTTTTTTTTTTTTTTTTTTGGTTGGGAGACTTTTGATGCTTCTGTCTCATTAGGGGCTATAGGTCTATTTAAATTGCTTATCTATTCTTGACTTAATTTTAGTAAGTGATACCTATCCAGAAAATTTTTTATTTCTTTTAAATTTTCCAATTTTGTGGAGTGCAGGTTTTCAAAGAATGACCTGATGAGTCTCTGGATTTCCTCAGTGTCTGTTGTTATGTCCCCCTTTTCATTTCTGATTTTGTTGATTTGCATATTCTCTCTCTGCCTTTTGGTTAGTTTGGATAAAGGTTTGTCTATCTTGTGGATTTTTCTCAAAGAACCAACTCTTTGTTTCATTAATTCTTTATATTGTCTTCTTTGGTTCTACTTTATTGATTTTAGCCCTCGATTTGATTATTTCCTGGCCTCTACTCCTCCTTTGTGAGTTTGCTTCCTTTTGTTCTAGAGCTTTTAGTTGTGCTGTTAAATCTCTAGTGTGACTATATTCTAGTTTTTTTATGTGGGCACTTAGTGGCATGAACTTAGCACTGCTTTCAAAGTGTCCCGTAAGTTTGGGTATGTTGTGCCTTAATTTTCATTGAATTCTAGGAAGTCTTTAATTTCTTTATTTCTTCCTTGTCCCAGGAGTGATGCAATTGAGAAATGTTCAATTTCCATGAGCTTGTAGGTTTTCTGCAATTTGTGTTGTTGTTCAATTCTAACTTTAAACCATGGTGATCCAATAGGATAAGGAAGTTATTCCAATTTTTTTTGTGTCTGTTGAGGTTTGCTATGTTGCCTAGTATGTGGTCGATTTTAGAGAAGATTTCATGTGGTGTTGAGAAGAAGGTATGTTCTTTTGTCTTTGGATGGAATGTTCTATAGATGTCTGTTAAACTCATTTGAGTCATATGTATTATTTAAATCTGGTTTTGTCGTGGGATAGCTCATTCTCTCCATCTAAAAACTTTGCTGGCCTGTCACCTCTGGGGGAAGGTGGAGGAAAGTCTGGTTAAGGTGCCTTCTGTTTGCACACATAAGAGAGGTCAGACACCGTACTGATCCAGTGTCCAGGATCCATGTGAGATGTCACTGGATCCTTCTGTATCTTCAAGTATATGAGTGTGTAGTGGCCACGCCTGGCTGTCTTTACTGTGTGTGTGTGTGTGTGTGTGTGTGTGTGTGTGTGTGTGTGTGTGTATCAGTTCTGTTTCCCTGTAATGACTTTCTGTTTCCCTGTATTGTCTTTCTCTGGTGTGAGAACCCCCTGGCTTAAGAACCCAATAGTTGGTGCCCCATCCTATTGGGGACCCAAATCTCTGCTTGGTCATGCATAGAAGCCCCAGAAACCTCTGCCTGCCCCACTCCAGGAACAGGAGCACTTGCTTGTTTTGTTGCATGGCTCTTGTTTTGGCCAGGGATGGTCACTGTGTGGAGCTGGGGAGGGGCTACTTAAGTAGTAGAGTCCTCTGCTACTTAAGCTGAGTACACTCCAGGAGGGGAGCCATGTCCCCCAGGTGAGCATCCCTCCACTCCATGGCTATTCTAAATAGTCCTAGGGAAGCAGGGAAGCTACCCTAGGCTTTTTCCAAAGAAAAGAGAGTTCCACTCTTTTCTCTCTCATGATTCATGTCATTCTTTTAACCAGTGATACATAAAACCTACCATTCTCTTAAAAACAAACAGAACAAATAAAACACCCCTGGCCTGGGCACAAGGATCACTCACAGACAATGCAGCCTGGACAAAATGGATTTCCCTTCTGCCCAACACTGAGCAAGGAGACATTAGACAACTTTTGCTAGGCCTATCATAGAGAATTAGACTGCTACTAAAAAGATTTCTGTCATCACCCAGTTGGCCCCACATATTAGAAAACAGTTATAAAAGTTGAAGATATAAACAGGTCGCAGTTTCTAGAGGTAGCTCTAATGTGTTTAACAACAGAGAACTGATTGGAACGAGACCTTTTTGCATAAACTGAAAGCCACCATCATCTTCTTTGGTGAGGAGACACAGTCAGACTTACAAATAACCAGCAATATTTTGGTGTCTTGCCCTCTATAGAAGACCATCTACCAGCTTAAAGTTCTGTCTTCAATAAAAGATATAGTTGGACCATCTCTCAGGTTGACAATAAAGATTGCCAGGGTATGGGCAGAAACTGACCATCCAGGACTGGCCAAACACCAAGCTCCTATAATTGTTGAACCAACAAGTTCAGATTAAACAACATCCAATGATCTTGGAAATGAAAGGGGAAATTGCAGTCTATATTGCCTGGTTTAAAGATACAGTCATTCTGGTGTCTGCCAGTCACCCTGGAATGTGCCTCTCTTGCCTGTGAAGAAACCTGGGACCCTATTCTCATGAGTCTTATTATTCCAGAGAAACAGGTGTACACTACCCTGTCTTGGATCTGAAAGATGTGTTCTTCAGCCTACCATTGAGAGAAATGAGTCTACCCATCAATGCTTTTAAATGGACAGACCCAGAGGGTGGTCACAATGGGCAGTATTCCTGGATCAGGTTGCCCCAAGGATTTAAAAATTCTTCAGCCCTATTTGGTGAGACACTAAATGCTGACCTCTTGCCCTTCTGTCAGAGGTTTCCAAGGTAAATATATTATAAAAGGGCTGATGAGGGACAGATGCCAGAACTGCAGACCTTGGGCTACACAGTGTCAGCCAAGAAAGCCCAACTTTGACAACCGATAGCTACCTGTCTTGTCTAACAGCTGAGGGGAGGCAAATGGGGTCTGTCTCAGAGTAGGATTGCTGCCATCCTTCAGATCCCAGCTCCAAAGACCAAGACACAGGTTTAAGAATTTGAGGTTTGAGAGACAGGTGAATCAGGGTATTGCTGCCTCTCAACACCAACCAGGATTTATGGGAATAACAAGGCTTTTATAAATTAGGGGCACTAAGCCCCTAATCTGGACTGGGACTTAAAAAAAGACAAATGGGGTTTTAACCCAGATGTTGGGGGTCATGGAAACTCCCTGTTACATACCTGTCAAAACTATGGAACCCTATAGCCACATAATGGTCCACCCGGTCCAAGAACTGTGGTGGTTACTGCTAGTTTAGTTAAAAAAAAAGCAGACAAGTTAACTCCAGGTCAAAGTCATATACCCACAGCACCCCACAATACTGTTGAAGCCTCCTCCGAGGAATACCAGAACACTATCTGTCTCATAACTGTGTGACCCAGTACCAGGCCCTAGCCTGGCCCACCTTCAAGTCTGGCTTGAGAAACCCACCACGATCAATCCTGATACCCTCTTGCCTGATGAATCCAGTTATGTGGAAGCTGGAATAGTAACTTTAACCAAACTGGGCCCAATCCAGGTACCTCAGCCCAGCGAGCAGAACAGATTGTTTTGAGCCAGCCTCTGAGATGAAGAAGCAGAAAGTCCACCACCACATACACAGACTATCAGTCAGTGTGCCTTTACTACTGGCTCTGTCCACTGTGTGATCTGCAGAGAAAGAGGAGCTCTCACTGTTGGAAACTAGGACATTAAAAAAAATCTTGGCCCTCCTAAAGGCTATTTGATGTCCCCTGTAAATTGCTGTCCTTCACCTATGGGCTTCTGACCTGGCTGACATACAAACACAAATGGCCCTAAGACCAGTGGGGTCTACTGATATTCTGATGAGATACCATGTCACGGTGTTG